TCTCACACACACACACACACACACACACACACACAGAAGTGGCTGTCCTCCACCCAGATAGGTGTGGCGTACTTTCCATTACATTTCAGTCAGTTCATTGTAAAATCTGCTTACACAAAGCTGTCAGCCAACACCCTGTTCTCCATCAGTTTTGATTCGATTCTCAGTGAATATGACCAAGTATAATTGTATGTATAGTTAATAGCATGTGAAAATGGTGTCATTGATGAATGTTTTTGTTTTGTTTTGTTTTGTTTTGTTTTGTTTCAGGGAGGGAGAGGAGGCCCTATGGCCTATGGAGCCATGTTCCCAGGATTTGGCGGCATGAGGCCCAGCCTTGGGGGAATGCCCCACAACCCAGCCATGGGCGGGGACTTTACTCTGGAATTTGACTCCCCAGTGGCTGCAACCAAAGGCCCTGAGAAGGGAGAAGGAGGTGTACAAGGCTCCCCAATGCTGGAGGCTAACCCAGCCAATCCGGAAAACCCAGAACTGCTTCCAGAAGTGGTACCTGGTGCCCACGCAGGGCTCTTAGCTTTGCCTAAGGATGACATTCCCAGCCTGACAAAAGGCTCCACAGGACAAAGGATGGGACCCTCTGGGGTCACCCCAGCAGCTGCTGACCCACTCATGACCCCTGAATTAGCTGATGATTATGGGACCTATGGTGTTGATGTGACCACACCCATGGGTCTCCAGGAAGAAGCCACCATGGATACCACAATGACCCCAGACAGTCAGCAAACATCCATGCCAGGAATCAAAGCCCAGGAGCCCCAGGTTATGCATGATGCATGGCATTTCCAAGAGCCCTGACAACCTTGAGATCACAGTCACCTTCTACATGCACACGCTTCCCAGCTTTGTCCCCACAGTGTACCTTTCTGCTAAAACACTTATTACCCTTCTACAGCAAAGGCATTAAAAGCACTAAGCATATATTAATAAATACAAGTGGCTAGAAATAGTGTAGGTTCCCTTCTTGTTTTCTTTCTCTCATTGAAATAAAACTAGTCAATTGTCTCTATGATTTAGAAATACTATTAATAACAGAGCAGATCTAATAGTTAGCATTTAATAATCTTTGTTTCTTAGCTGTTTTAGGCATTATAGACTTTCTCTTTCTAGCACATTGACTAATATTAAGTCCAGAAAATATGACACTGCTTTTTTCTCTAAGCAAAAGCTTATGTTCTCAGAATTCTAAGATATTTCACTTACTCTTTATTAAATGAGGAATTAGTGGAAAATCCTTGACTGGTAATACTGGGTTTGGTATATTGGATTAAAAATTCTAATTTGTAGTGTATTTTATTTAATCCAGTAAAAAAAAAAAAATTCTAGCCTATTTTAAATAAAGAAGTTTTCTGGCTGAAAATACCAGGAATTTTATGTTTATTATTATATATATTTAAATGGCAAAAAAAGTCACACTATCCCCTTCCTTTGCTAAAATTTTGTTCAATTCATTCTTTCTGTAAATTTATGAATATGTACATATATCCTTGGCACTGGGTAACACATCAGCATATAATCCTTTCCAAGCTTATGATGGGCATGACTGAGTATATAATCACAATAACACAAACAACCACTCTAAACAAGCTCAATTACTTTACATATATTATCTCACAACAGAACTGCAAAATAGATATTCAACTCTGTGAAAAGTGTTACGAAAAAGTCAAGCAGAGTACCCCTGGAGGCACAGAGAAGTCACACACCTAACCCAGTCTAAGGGGTATGAAAGGGCTGGGAGGGAGTTTTATCAAAGCAGTGTTGAAAACACCTGCAGAATGAGGCCTTGAAGAGTAAAAAACATGGAAAGAGTCAGGCAGGTCCTAATGAGAATTAGATCATTCCTGTACAAAAAATATAGTTCAGGTAAAGGAGATGCAGAAAATGACCCTTCCTTGTCACCAAGGCTAGTATGTATCAGTCAGGGCTGTATGCCCAAATTAGCTTCTAAGCCCAGGTCCAGTCATCCCTGAAAAGCTGCCTCTTACCCAAGTCTTTCCAATTTCTCCTAAATTGCCTAGCCCAGGTCTCCAACAACAAGAAACTCAGGCTCCCCACTATTTGTTGATGCAGATTCTGAGGCTGTAACTTAGGGAAAAAGAGCCTTGAGATGCTTTCCCATCTGGAATACTTCAGGAACCTCAGCAGGATCATGTAGCCACCACCTAACGCCTTCCTCTCTTCAGGCAGGACTCTGCTTTACCCGCACTCCATACATTACAGCTGAAGGACAGAAGCAGTAGGTGAAAGTTCCGTTTACCTCCCCTACTGGCTCTGATGAAGATGCCAGAGTAAGGGAATAACTTCTATAGTAGTCAGCAGATAGCCACTGAGACTCACCTCAGCATTGTAGATATTTCCTAAGAAACAGTATCTTAAAGGACATAAAGACAGATCTGGGTTCAAACGTTAACATCTCATTTATTTACAATCATTCTATTTGTTTTTAAATTTGTTGTAGGGCACATGCACTCACCAGAGAGAGACAGTGAGTGAGAGAGAGAGAGAAAGTGAGAAAGTAAGCCACCAGGTTCAGGACTAAAACCGCAGTCAGCCATGTGGGAGTCCAGCGCCCAGACCACCACATCACCCACTAATCCAAGACTTTTTTTTCTTATTTTTTAAGTTTAGTTAGTTAGTTAGTTAGTTCATGACTGAGAGAGACAGACAGAAAGAAATACAGCACCCCTGAGAGGGTCTTGATGCCTCAATTCATCAGAGTTTCAACCACCTTAGATCATGGATATATCCCTGCCTAGAGCACTTAAGGAGTCTCCAGATACAAACCAGTAATTTTCACATGAATAAGTGTCAAATTCTATCAATGCCCTTTATCACTTATGAGATTTTTAGATGTGAAACTTCATCTCTCTGTGCTTGTGTTTTCATTTTTAAAATGGGGCTACAACTTAGCTCACAGGGTTGTTGTGAGAATTCAACTAAATAAAGTACACAGATGAAATTGCCAGATCATAGCAGTTTCCTTCTTTTACAAGTGATCTTTTTCAGAAAAAGAATTCACCATAACATCAGTAGCAACAGTGGAAAAATGAAATTATCTTCCATTTACATTCCCCGCTTCTTGTCACTCTTTGCAATTCCCAGTGTGCACTTGTGAGATCTCATCCATTGGTTTCCTTGGTAAATGTTGTCATATCAAGGGCCCAGAGTCAGCCTCTACTATTGTCAAGCTGGACACTTAATAGTAAGAGTAATAGATCAGTTTTGATGAGTAAGGCTATCATGTTGTTGAGCACTTGAATAACTTCTGTCCCTGCCACCATAGTCACTCCAAACACTAACCCATTGGGTAAACACCAAAGTGCTTAAGGAAAGAAGCTAAATGTTAACCTCATAAGGGGCTATCCTGATTACTGAGAATTTCCTCTACTATGGTTTCCCTCTATCAGGCATTTACATGAAAAACAAATATCTTCATATTATGTCTCATTCTGAGAGGTCTTTTCAAATAATCTGCTTTCTAGACTCTCCTTATCACCAATCTTTCAATTTTCAGTCAGGTGAACAATCTGATAATGACCTTGAATTAGTGTAGATTTGTATCTCGGGCTATTTCTCTTTCTACACAAAATAAGTTATGCCATTTAAAGTTCTGCCTATTAAGTGGATTTATAGTACACTGACTGTCCACTTCCAGTTGATGCCAAAATACCATATAGAAATTCACGAGTCAGACATTCTTTCCTCTCTGTTATTTGGTTATAGGAAGGGTAGCCATTGATCTTATAAACTAGGACACTTTTGATGATGAGGGAGGTTGTCAACATTTATGACAATGTTGGAAGTAGGTATAAACAAGTACTACCTAGAACAAGCCTGGATATTTGTTTATTTTACCCATATGGAACTTCCCTATGCAAACAAAAGAGCAGATTGAAGGGACAGCATCAGACTTATAAAGTTACACATGGGGGACCAGCAGTTGGCATAATGACGTAATGTTGCTGGACTCCCATGTAGTCGACCACAGTTCGAGTCTCGGACTTGGTGGCTTAAACTCACACCAGGCACATGTGCATGCGTACTCAAGATCCCAAGAGGAGAATGGAGGAGAAGGGATTGTGGCTTAGCCATCCCCCCCTGGGGGGGGAGGGGTGTGTGTGTGTGATTTCTCACTTTCTGTCTCTCTGTCTCTTTCTCTTTCTGGTAAGCATACATGCCCTATAGCAAACCGCCCCCCCCCCAAAAAAAAAAGTTATACATGGACCTGTGAATCACTTGCCTGTGCATTTCCTGTTGGAGACAGAAACCAGCCCAGGCCTGAGAAATAAGCCAGAAGGAAGAATGCAGGAGGGAATTGAAAGCAATCCCATCCCCAGACAGAAAGCCATGGGAACTGCATGGTCATCCTGATGGAGCTCCAGGCATGGGCTGTGTCTCAAGATGTTGGGTGACATTCCACAAGCCAAGATGTTGTCTAAATACTAAGTTAATGGCAGCTATCAATACTGTACCAGGAATATAGCCTACAAAGAACATCATGTATATTGTACACTGTTCTCTATAGCTAATTTCATTTAATGCCTATTGCCTATATGATTTAATTTAGAATAAATGGGCTCTTCTCTGGTGCAGTTTTGCTTGGGCTCCAAGAGAGCTTTAGCTCCCTGCTTTAGCCTTTTCCTCATTTCTTTTCTCAGTCCTTTGTGAAACCTTACCTTCAAGCCCTGAGTTTCTCACACTTTTTACTTGAGCCCTCTGAAACTGCTGAAACCTGGTGTCATATATTTTTTCATTTATAAAAGAACATTGTAATTGTAACAGCATTTACAACTGATTGTTGTAATATGTTTCATTTTATTGAACATAAACATATTGAATTCAGGGGAACATACCTCACCTACTTTACCATGGCAATTGAAAAATTATAATTACTTTGTATCTAATAGTCAGGCACAATGCTTCTATCAGGATCCAGTAGCAAGGCAAAAACTACTTTTCACAATGAAAACCATAATGTTCCATGCTATTACTCTCCTATTAGGACTTGTCACAGGTCCCTTAAAGCTGCAGATACTTCCAACATGTTTGAGTCTTCTGGGTCATAATGCCCAAGTAAGAGGGAAGCTTACATTACAGCCTGGGCTCCTTTCATGCTCCAAGTCCCAATCAAAATTGTCAGTCTCTCAAGTTATACAATGTGGTACATGTTGATATCAAAACACAAAGAAGTCCCCCAAGAATTGTGCTTCTTTCTTCTTGTAGGACAATGCAAGATGAAACAATTTACTAACGATTTCAGTTTTCCTAACATGCTCCAGACCACTAACCCTCCAGAAATGTTATCAGCCCATGAACTTTTACAGTGTTTATCTTCCATTCTCTGGCTTGTTGCTTCATGTTAATCAAATCCTGTTCCATTATGTTTTCAATTTACTGGACAGTCATGGTGTCTGGCGGATACAGAGATGATCAGGACCCTGAGGACTATATAATGACAAAATATGGCAGAAGTATCATAATCCAAAAGATTTACACTATAAATTCATATTTTTCCTGTCTTCTAAAAGCATACTGCTTTTTCTTACTGATTGAAAAAGAAAGCAAGCTTCTGCCAGATCAATAGCTACTTACAAGGTACCATGAGCTATACTGATTTGCTCCAATCAGCAAATTTGTTACTACACATTTTAGATTTGTTTCTATATCTGAAAATACATTTTCAATTGACACCATCAACTGACTGATTTGCAATTTATCTACTGTAGTTCTCCATTATCCATTTAGCTTTTGAAAAATAGCTGTTTTGTAAAAGAGACGGTGGTAGGACACCTCTT